TATATATATTAATTTACTAATAATTAATTTACTAATATTACAGTTAATTAATCTACATTGCTTTTAAACAATGATATTAATTATTAAAATAAAAATAATTTTGTGCCTTCAAAACTATTATATATCAAATATAAATAGAATGTCTATATGAGATTCCGCGATTGTCAGAGCATAAATAATGTACCTATTTATAAAGCGGCAAGATATAATTTGTAAATAATTGGACTGTACTCATCACTATATATGCAATTATATCTTATCGTCTTAAATTAATATACACATATATACATATATATAAATTTTTTCAGATTAGATTTGTCTTTATTAATGAAATGAATTCTGGATTGGTCCAAATTGGGAAAAATTGTTTATTTCTTTTGCATTCTATGTTATGACCAAGAGATTGAATTTTTTAAAAATTAGAACAAGATTTTGAAAATGAAAAAAAGATAATGCTATTATGTTTTGCTCAATATTATTACTTGTTCTAGCTATATTCTTCATTTTTTTGAAAAATTCAAGGTTTTTCTAGAATCTTTGTTTTAGGTTCAGATTTTGCTTTCTTCTCGGACACGCTACTGCGCAAGCATCAATTCGATACATCCACTCGATTTCGCGATTTAATGCATTTACACATGCGTGCATATAACTGCGTTGCGACATGAAGTCTCGCAATGGTGAAATTATCAAGACTTGTTAAATAATGGCATTATTGTGGACATTTTTTAGTGCGATTGTAAGGGGTTAATGTCGCACGTGCTGCGACATGTCGCGGAAGGTCGACCCACGCGTACTTTAGCTAAAACTAACATAGTCTTAAACTAACATAGAATTTACTGCATTGCAGTTTGCGCAAGTCTAAATCGTTGATAAACAAGCAGAGCAATGCCGAATTTTTATAATGTAATGAATGAATAATTATTTTGAAATTTAGTACAATATATTATAACATAATATAAACAATATTAAATTTTCTTGACAACCTTTATAATGATTATCAGTGAGAGATCCTAACAGTTTTCTTGCTTCTTGACTTTATTATTATTTCATCATTGTTTATTTACGTGTATACATCAAATGTTTTTAATCATGTTTACCATTTTTAATTTTTTAACCTTGTTTAATTTTTGCGACATGTGTTCTATTATTTTTATTATAATATCTCTTATCGATTGTACACAAATATTGCTGACTATATATTAATGTAAGTTTTTGCAATTAATTAGTTATCTATATATTTTGAATATGTTTTACACATATTTATCGTGTTATTGATAATCGATGTTATCTGTAATAGTGTTACCTTTTTTTTATTGACTATTGACTTTTACAAGTTTTTTTTATCATTTGACCACTGTTATCTAACACTTTATCGATTTCACATTGGACATCGGTATTTTTACGATAGTAGAGCTATCTTAATTTATTCTGTGCATCTTTATGTTTTAATTCGAAATTCAACGATATAGTAGTATTAATATGTATAGTTACAAGTTAAAAGTTGCTGGGGATTTTAATGACTTTTGTGTTAGTTCAAAAAATCCTCCACAACTAACACAAAAGTCATTAAAATCCCCAGCAAATACTTGGTATGTTGGTTAAAACGTTTGCAGTTTTGGGTTTATGTAATTTTTAAGTAATAATTCACCAACATTCGTGGGATCTTATCGATTCTTTTATAATTCTTACTTATTATTGATTTACTTTCAGAACCTTATTTGTTTTATTATTTTATTATTTTATTATTTTATTGGTATTCAATATTGTTTCATATAAAAATTACATCGAAATTACAATGAAATATTCAACAGTGTTTTTGAATTCTGAATTATTGATGGCTGATTATTATAAAGGTGATTCATAAATGCAAATCAATATTTCAAGAGCAAATTTATACATTAAAAGTAAGTAAAAAAAACATCATATGAATATATGTTCTACCCGTACATTCATTTCTTAAATAATGTTAATTAAACTTCGTGTAACTTCGTTTTCGTATCAAACATATTTTTAATTGCATTAAAAAATGACAGCGGTTAACAAATCTCCAGGATGTAGACATAGAAAGGGATTATTTTAATATTTAATGATTATGTAAAAATATCTTTTGCATATCTATGCCGCATAAATTTTCACGTGGTAGTTGGCACGTGTACAGTGTTCTCAAACATTTTTAGCTTGCTTCTTTAAGAAAGTATAAAATTGGCTTACAAATCTAAATAAGAAATGACGATAGATATACGTCGCACGTTCAAATTTCTATTTGAGTATTCTTTGGAACTATTAACAAAGATGTAATATATGGATTATATTAAAAATGTAAGATCAAATATAGAGCGTCAATCGTCTACGTCATAGCTTAATTCGAGTATGTCATAACTTCTCTCTCTTATACGCATACACACACACACACACGCACGCACACACACACGCGCACACACACACACACACACACACACACACACAATATTATATATATTATCTAATTTATTAATTAAAAAATAAAAGAAACAACAAATTAAAAATAAAAGACAATAAGAAATAATTTATTTAAACATATAGGACTAATTAACTTAAGCAAGTCGCTCTTTATATAAAAGAAATCTGCGATTGCAGCTTTAAAGATTGATCATCATCACTGATTTAAACATTTCTACACAATTTTAAAACTGCTTTAACATTTATCGTATTTTCAAAAACTTATTTTCCTAGCAGAAACTTACTCTCATATTTTCTAAATATCTTACAGCCTTTTTAACACGTTTAAAATTACATGCAATACGATATTCGTAAAATTTTAAAAATAGTTCAATTTCTTTGTAAGAATTTCTGAAGACTTTACTTAATAATCAAAATATATTGTAAGATAGGAATGAATCGTACGATAATTAATTATATTCCGCTTAACCTTTCTCTAGTCGATCGTTATCTCTGCATTCATGCTAGCAATTATGAAATCGATTTGTAATTACCACTACACTGCCTTATTACTAATGGTATAATTAAACATCTGAGATAAGACCGATCTGCTGTTATTAATCATGAAAGACGTAGCACAGAAAGTGCTAGTGTTAAGCACAACACATTAACTGTGATTATTGCGATAAAGTTCTGTGTACGATTAATGCTCGAGAGGGTCATGCAGCCAGGACGAGTTATAAACTCGACTTAGAAACTACGTAAAGTATAATGATTGCTTGCAACTGTTACGCTGCGATTATCAGGAGTTGTTCAGTTGATCTGCGCTTGTGAGATGTATAATGCACTTCGCATGCGGCTGATAAAAAGGATTTCGATTCTTCGCTCACGATTCTTCTATAATATCTTGTAAGGTCGATCCTGCAGGTGTTTCAATTTCTGGAAAGATATGACAGTTTTGCCCTGATTATTCTTGTATAAGATGAGCTCAAAGAAAAATTACAGTAGTCTCATACTCCAATTTATCAATATAGTTTTAATATAATATGCAGGCATGATAATTATTCATTACTTATAAGTTACGACTGCATTTCAGAAACTTATCGCATGTTGTATTTTTATTGAGACCAATATAAAAGTCTCTACCTCGCACATATTTCTTGAATATAATATTTAAAATCAAATCGGAAACACTGAAATTGTTAAGGGCTAGTTTACAAAAATAATGCCAACTTATTCTTAAAGCTTTTTAAAGCTTTAATTTGTGGTTAACTTTGTGACAGTCGTATTAGCCTATCAATATTATTAATCTATAAATCTACATTATTTTCAAGAGAATAATTTAGTTTACAGTAGCTTAAATTGCGCGTTTGAGTTAATTTAAACAATATATTTGCATATATTGTTATGTACTGAATAAACGTGCCACTTTGGTATCAGCGAAGTGTCTTAAGTGGGAAGCACAGACTTTTGCATAAAGCATATAAGGCATAAGAAATTAAATTAATCACGAGTTCTTTATTTGATGGAAAGAAGGAAACGAAGGACTTTTGATTGGTTCATTTTCTTACACATTACGTGTTATGCGTTATACAAGAGTCTGTACACTCCGTCTTACATTAGTTTGATTCCGTGCACTGTTTGCTTTCTTCTACCTTCATGTTCTACATTTAATGGAATGTATTATTCTTGTTAATGTTGTCTTGTTATTGTTGTTATTTTCCTTCTTATTGTATCGTAATTTGCTTCGCACCCTGGTTTCCTCTCGATTGTTTCCGCTCGTACATACATGTCGCATCGTATCGTCGCATGTTTCTTTCTATGCACGCATAATTCTTTTTTCGTTCCGTCCCCTTCACTCTCGTCTCTTAATCTCTCTTCGCTCTTCTGTCTCTTTTATCGGGACGAAAATCATCTGAAATTTTTTCCGATCACCTCCCTCGCCCTCGGAAGATTTACTTGCGTCTTGCTCTCATTTTAAGCCAATTATCAGTTTGCGACAATTCATTTCAATCAGTAGAGATAAATCATCAAAGAATCATCTCGAAATCGCAATGTAAATTCGTATGACCAACATTTCAATTTAGTTGTAATATTGATCACTTTTCTTTCCCGAGGAGAACGAGAGGAACAAGAAGAAGAGAGAAGAGAGGGACAGGGTAGACATAATGTAATTGCTTAGTCTGGGTCTAGAAATTAGAAGCTAGACCAATTGAATAAGAGGTGGAGTAAAAGTGGCGAAAATGTAAGTATGAATGGAGAAAATGCAAGAAGATTGAAAAAAAAAGTGAGAGAGAGAGAGAGAGAGAGAGAGAGAGAGAGAGAGAGAGAGAGAGAGAGAGAGAGGAGGGCGAGAGCGAGAGAAAGAGAGAAAGGGAGAGAGACAGAAAGGAAAAAAGAGATATAGAGATAAAGAGAAAAGGGAAATGAAGTGTGGGCGGAAGGAGAGAGAGAGAGAGAGAGAGAGAGAGAGAGAGAGAGAGAGAGAGAGAGGAATGTAAGAAAAATGAAGAATAAATGATGAAACGAAAGGATGATAGAAAAAGAAAATTCATACATATCCGAAATGCCACTTGTTCCAGGACCTAAAGAAGCGCGATTCCCACATCTGCGACATGCAGGCCCTACAGCCACTTCCGGCCCCCACCAACACCGCCAACACCGCGCCCGCCATGACTACTTCCGGTGGACAGCCACCGCTCCCGGTATCGGAGACCGTTTGAATCACGATGATCACGAGAACCGATCACGATCGTCCGTGTGCGATGTGCTAGCCACGCATTATCACACCACCACTCACCTATAAACTCACCGCCGTCCTTCTCCACACCTGTGCTCGCTGAACCCGATGAACGAACCACGGCCGACCACGGTCGAAGCAACGGTGAGCCATCATCAATCACGAATCTTAAAAGGGCGCAGCGCGAACCACCGGAAGTAGTCGTGGATCATGTTAGTCCGTGATATACGCGTGATTTTTCAATTGTTCTATTTCGCACGTTTCGGAAGCCCCGTAAGTGATATTGCAAAAAATCGCGCGTATTATTTATTTATCCAGAGAACGTATTATTTTTAGTATTTTTTATGTAGTGTTTATCGTGATGTTATTTTGTAGAT